GGGAGGTGGAGTGTACAGTCGGTAAAGACGGCTCTCCCTTGCCCTGCCTCCAACATGCCTCCATCTAAAAAGGCTAGGTTATCCAGAGTTATCTCTGTAGTTATGCTGCTATAGGCTTAGACTGCTGGAGGATACACTGACCACTTTTCACACTCGACTGCTTTCTTCTACAATCTGCTCTTTCACTGTATTATTTTCTGCTATTTCAGCTGTTAACTTTATTTTCTCTCTAAGTGTTTTTCTCCCCAGAAGAAGCTACAACGATGTTCTGCTGAGCTGTGGTGGCCTCATGGAGGGGGCCATCGTCTAGCACACTGCTGCTAACCACTTAAACATTCTCTCTCTCCTGATAATAACTTTTTACTCTTTGACGTTAAATGTGCTACTACTAGTTTACCCGTTTAATTATAGATCCACTAGGATAAATACAATAAAGTTTATCTCTCACCAAATAGAATATTTACTAAGACATCACAATGTAACCATAGACACACGTGTGTGTGTGTGTGTGTGTGTGTGTGCGTGCGTGCGTGCGTGTGTGTGTGTGTGTGTGTGTGTGTGTGTGTGTGTGTGTGTGTGTGTGTGTGTGTGCTCTGTCTTCTCGATCCCCAGTGAGTCGTGGAGGATGGCTGCTTATACTGAGCCAGGATTCTCTGGCGGTTTCTTCCTGTTAAAAGGGAGTTTTCCTCTCCACTGTCGCTGCATGCTTGCTTAGTATGAGGATTGCTGTAAAGATTCTGGCACTTGTCAGTGACTCGATGCAACCTGCTGGGTTCTTCATATAGGAATCATTTTACTGATTGGCTTAATGACCTGACCTGTATTGGAATGTTTACTGTATGAAGGTCCTTGAGATGGCTCTGGTCCTGATTTGGTGCTATAGAAATAAACTTGAATTGAATTGAATTACTTTGACTTTAGGTCATTAGGCCGACTCGGCCATTCAAGTCTTATTTGAACCGAGCTCTCAATCCGACTTCATCAAGATTGTGATGCGGTCCACAACTTCTGAACAAGAGGAGATGCCGCGGTCCTTGCTGATTAGATTAGATTAAAGCCCCAGCTAGACTTGATGCTTTGGGTAGTTTCACCATCCTCTTTGCCTCTGGCAGAATGAGGTGGAGAGCCACAGGTGGGCGCAGCAACAAATGGAACAACTGAGTGAGGTAAAGATTGAAGCAGAACAACAGGTTAGTCCTCGAGGAGGCACAGATATCTGTCTGAAGACAATGTGGTTCTTGAGGAGGAGACTAACATGGCAGGGAAGAGGATCACTAAGTTAACTGAGGAATAAAAATTTCTTACAGCTGATCGTGCCTGATGTGTGGTGAAAATAGGAGATCTGGAGAAAGATTCTTGAGCTGACACAAAAATTAGAGGAAGCTGAAAAACGGGCCTCCTCTGCTTCTGCGCCTCTGCCACAGCTCAACCCAGCTGGTCCCGTCTTGTGGGGACGGTTATGCTTACCTCCCCCTGCAGCTGTGTCACCTGCTTCTCACGGCAGTCCTCTTGTCCCGGCAGTCTTGACTTCTGATGTGTACAGGATGGCACCTGTCGGCAGGTCAAGTCAATCTTTCCCGCTGAGCAAACCTGAGAAACTTACAGTATTGTGTAAATTCATCCGTAATGGTCCCAAACGGAAATCTCACATTCCTTTGACTCTAGAGGGGTCACTAACCTGTGATTCTATCTTACGGCGCTGACACATTAGCATCGGCACTGTCGGGCTGGATGTCGTGAGTTCAGTCTCAAACGGGCAGTGCAGTGTTCAGATATAAATCTGAGGGACTTCTCAGGATTGCGGAAATCCCTGAGCCTGTAGGCGGAGTTTAATACGCGCGGGAAAGTCCGCTCCATACGGTAAACAAAAGGTGGACATGAGTTATGTTGCTTTTGGAGACTCTGAACCACATTGTTTAATTAATTTGCTGTGTGTGTCCCCATAATCTTGTGCCACACACTCAGATTTCTCCCCTGAGCAGGTGTCTGTTTGCCAGGGCAAGAGCTCCGATGCGGAGAACAGGTGCGCGCGCACACACACGCACACTCAGAGTTATTCTCTTCTCCCGTTCCCACACTTAATGGCAGCTCCGGATCGGCAGCTCCGTGCTACAGACAGAAGTTTACTCAACAGCTTCCAGCATGAAAATGAATCGCGCATGCTAACTAAAAGATCTGCCTCCCATCCTAATTTTAGATATTCTGGGAACCACCAGTAGACCTGCAGTCTGAGAGCGAAGTGCTCGGTTAGGAACGTATGGAACAATCAGATCACTGATGTATGATGGAGCTTGATTATTAAGAGCTTTGTATGTGAGAAGGAGGATCTTAAAATCTATTCTGAATTTAACAGGTAGCCAATGTAGGGAACCTAAGACAGGAGAGATATGATCTCTCTTTTTAATTCTCATCAGAACTCTAGCTGCAGCATTTTGGACAAGCTGAAGACTTTTAACTACATTCTGTGGACTTCCTGAGAGTAATGAATTACAGTAATCCAGTCTTGATGTAATAAATGCATGAACTAGTTTTTCAGCATCACTCCTGGAAAGGATGCTTCTAATCTTAGCAATATTCCAAAGGTGGAAAAAGGAAATCCTACAAACCTGTTTAACCTGGGATTTGAATGAAATGTCCTGGTCAAAGATAACACCAAGGTTCCTTACTTTGTTCTCGGAGATTAATGTAATGCCATTAAGGTCAGGCGATTGGCTAAGCAATTTCCTTTTCTGGATTTCTGGTCCAAAGATGAGAACTTCCGTCTTGTCTTGATTTAAAAGCAAAAAGTTTAAAGTCATCCAATTTTTTATGTCCTCAAGACAAGCCTGTAATGTACCCAACCGATTAGGTTCATCAGGGTTAATGGATGAATATAACGGAGTATCGTCAGCATATCAGTGGAAGTTTATCCCATGCTGTCTAATTATTTTACCAATTGGGAGCATATATATAGTAAAAAGAATTGGTCCAAGCACTGAACCCCGTGGTACTCCGCAAGTAACCCTGGAGTATGAAGAAGATTTGTCATGTACATTTACAAAATGAAATCTGTCAGACAGGTAGGATTTAAACCAGCCTAACGCTGTTCCTTTGATCCCTACAACATGTTCAAGCCTTTCTAAAAGAACATTGTGATCAACTGTGTCAAAGGCAGCACTGAGATCTAACAAGACTAGAACAGACACAAGATTCTTATCTGAGGCCATGAGAATATCATTTGTAACTCTCACTAATGCAGTTTCAGTGCTGTGATACTCTCTAAAACCAGACTGAAATTCCTCAAACAGAGCATTAGTGTTTAAATGCTGACATACTTGGATGGCCACTATTTTCTCCAGGACTTTGGATAAAAATGGAAGGTTAGATATTGGTCTATAATTCATTGGGTCATCTGGATTCAGAGAAGGCTTCTTAAGTGAAGGTTTGATTACAGCAACCTTAAAATCCTGTGGTTCATATCCATTTACTAAGGATAGATTGATTATCTCTAGAATGGGGACACTAACCAAAGGAAATGCATCTTTAAATAATTTGGTTGGTATTGGATCTAAAATGCAAGTTGAAAGTTTAGATGAAGCTAATATTTTTGATAACTCTGAAAGCTCATCTGGATCAAAACTGTTCAAACACAGATGAGGTTCTACAGTCACGTCTGATGCTGCCTCACTGAGGAAGAAGAAATCACATTAGGGAGGATGCTAAAGATTTTGTTTCTAATAGAATTAATTTTACTTGTAAAAAATCCCATGAAGTCATTACTGCTGAGGGCTAAGGGAATAGATGGCTCAGAGCTATGATTCTGTGTAAGTTTGGCAACTGTACTGAAAAGAAATTTAGGATTATGCTTATTCTCCTCAATTAACGCTGAGAAATAAGCAGTTCTAGTTTGTTGAAGCTTATTTTTATAAAGCACAAGACTATTTTTCCAGGATAGGTAGGCCTCCTCATGGTGCGTAGAGTGCCATGTTCTCTCCAATTTCCTAGAGTTTTGTTTTAAAGCTCGTAAATGAGAATTAAACCAGGGAGCCAACTTCCTGTCCCTAATTACTTTCTTTTTTAAAGGGACAACATCATCTAATGCCACACGTAAAGATGAAGTAACATTATGAACTAAGGCATCAATTTGTGAGGGCTAGAAACAAAAATATTGCTCTCTGCTACGTTCCTCTGAGATGCTGAGGACAGTAAAGATGAAACAGTTGATTTAAAAGATGCAACTGCGTTGTCAGATAGAGACCGACTATAGTGAAATTTACTTTCATGTCTCGAGAACTCAGTTATAAAAAACTCAAAGGTTATCAGGAAGTGGTCCGAGAGGACTGGATTATGTGGAAAGATTGTTATTTCCTCACACTCTATGCCATAAGTCAGCACAAGGTCCAATGTATGATGGCAGGAGTGGGTGGAGCTATGTATTTGAGTAAAACCAATTGAGTCTAAGATATTACTAAAAGCTACATTGAGGCTATCATTTTCAATGTCCACATGAATGTTAAAATCCCCCACTATAATGACCTTATCAGTAGGGCTGCTCGATTATGGCAAAAATGATAATCACGATTATTGTGACTGAAATTGAGATCTCGATTATTTAAGACGATTTTTCAATTTGTGTTGATTTTATTTGCTTTTATTCAGTCATAAAATTGCTCGGGGCACAATCAGGACAAAAAAAAAGAAACAAGATGATCACTAAAAAGACCAATAAATTTATAGCTCATAGTTTATGACCCAAGGGCTATAGACCTTGGTTTAACTCATGTATGTCTAACCAGTACAGACCCAAATACCAATATCTTGCAGCGTGGAACAGGAAGTAGGTTAGTAATGGATCTGTGCTGTGGCTGTAAATGTTCCTAAGCAGAGTCTCCAGGATTCCCACTCTGTCCTGACTGAATGAGTCTATCCTTTGTGTCTCTCCACTGTAACCGTCCATTGAATCCTTTAAAATGGAATTGTGTGACCTTTGACCTAAGCGTGGACCCATCCAATGTGTCCAGGTTCCTAGAGGTGTTCCTGCTTTACTGCCATTCCGCTGGACAATGGTTTGCCATAGAGGAGTGCATCACCGGAGAGTTCAGGAAGTTCAACAACAACAACGGAGATGAGATTGTTCCTACCAACCTTCTGGAGGAAACCATGCTGGCCTTCAGCCACTGGACCTATGAGTACACCCGCGGAGAGCTGCTAGTCCTGGACCTGCAGGGTAACCAGTGGAAGCTTATCTAGGTGATAGATGAGCACAGGCATATGGAACAAGTAAATGACAGCTGTTTTTCTGCTCCTGAAGGTGTTGGGGAGGTCCTGACGGATCCATCAGTCATTAAGAGTGGAGAGAAAGGGTGAGTGAGCTCCTGGGCCCTCATTTATCAACCCTACTTACAAACAGGTCTGTGCATATTTTGTGTGTAGGAATGATTTTACACATTTTAGGTGTGTTCTTGCTGTGTCTTTGTAAATCCATGCTTTCGTTCTTTTTTAAACACAGAAACAGTTTTGTTTACCTGTTTGTAGCTACGGTTTCGCCGACAGCTGCCGGCTTCTTCAGGCTGACGCTGATGGTGGCGCGTCACTTCCTTCTCCGTTTATCTGCGGGCAGCAGAGGACGTTGTCGCCCTCTACTGCCCGCTCTCCCCTCTCCGACGATGCAGTCCCATGCGTGGTCCAGCGTGTAAACTCCGTCGTCCCTGTTCATGGTCCCACATCCACGTCTCCTTATCTCTATTGCTTCCTTGATCCATCTTTTGTATTTTTGTTGTTCGGTGGTTATGATCCGTGTGCTGTCCCAGTCCATTATATGGTTTTCTCTTAAGCAATGATCTGTTACGGCTGACTTTTTTATTGTGCTTTCTGCTTCTTCTTTTGCTGCTCTTGTGTGTTTACGATTTGCCTCTTTCTCGCACTCCTTTCTGTGTTCTATTGTTCGTGTGTTGAGTTGGCGTCCGGTTTCTCCTATGTATGTTTTATTGCATATTTTGCATGGGATTTCGTAGATGACTCCACATTTTTGTCCAGCTGATATCTTGTCTTTTGGGTGTACTAATCTGTTTCTAACTGTTGTGTATGGCTTTGTTGGTGTGTTTATGTTGTGTTTTTTCATTGTTGCTCTTATTTTTTCCGTTATGCCTCTGATGATAACCCTACCATACATCAGAGGCATAACGGAAAAAATAAGAGCAACAATGAAAAAACACAACATAAACACACCAACAAAGCCATACACAACAGTTAGAAACAGACTAGTACACCCAAAAGACAAAATATCAGCTGGACAAAAATGTGGAGTCATCTACGAAATCCCATGCAAAATATGCAATAAAACAAACATAGGAGAAACCGGACGCCAACTCAACACACGGACAATAGAACACAGAAAGGAGTGCGAGAAAGAGGCAAATCGTAAACACACAAGAGCAGCAAAAGAAGAAGCAGAAAGTACAATAAAAAAGTCAGCCGTAACAGATCATTGCTTAAGAGAAAACCATATAATGGACTGGGACAGCACACGGATCATAACCACTGAACAACAAAAATACAAAAGATGGATCAAGGAAGCAATAGAGATAAGGAGACGTGGATGTGGGACCATGAACAGGGACGACGGAGTTTACACGCTGGACCACGCATGGGACTGCATCGTCGGAGAGGGGAGAGCGGGCAGTTGAGGGCGACAACGTCCTCTGCTTCCCGCAGATAAACGGAGAAGGAAGTGACGCGCCACCATCAGCGTCAGCCTGAAGAAGCCGGCAGCTGTCGGCGAAACCGTAGCTACAAACAGGTAAACAAAACTGTTTCTGTGTTTAAAAAAGAACGAAAGCATGGATTTTACACATTGTTTGGTATTTACCAATTTGTACTCGAAATGTTCCTAAATATAGGAACAGCTGCGACCATGCGTAGGAACAGCATCTAGTGGTAGAAGCAGTAGGGAACCCCAGTAGTGAAGCATGTGTGAAATCCATGGCACAAAACAAGCGGAATTAGAAAATAGTGTTTTTAGCCCTGTTGACTTGCATTCACTTTTTTCGTTCTGGTGACTCGTGGTCCGGAAGTAGATGGGTGTGACTTAGGCTCCCTATGGCACATTTAAATGCAACAATGTTGCCCAAAGTGCTGAACATAGACATATGAAAACACAAAAATATATAAGCAGTCAAGTAAAAGCACAGTAAAAATTAAAAAATCTGACATAAATGACAACAACAACAAAAAACAGGGCTACCGGGGGGGTGGGGGGGTCAGTGCGCTACCAATACTATCTATAGTGGGGACAGTGTGCTGCTGACCTCTACTCAGGACGTTGTGGATCGGTGGGCAGAATACTTCAAAGACCTCCTCAATCCCACTGACACATCCTCCAGTGAGGCAGTGATGCGGGCGTTGTACCGGTCTGTCGTGGTGAAGAGAGAGCTGAGTCAGAAGGTGAAGCTCTCGATTTACCGGTGGATCTACGTTCCTACCCTCACCTATGGTCATGAGCTTTGGGTAGTGACCGAAAGAACGAGATTGTGGATACAAGCGGCCGAAATTTGTTTTCTCCAAAGAGTGGCTGGGCTCTCCCTTAGAGATAGGTTGAGAAGCTCGGTCATTTGGGAGGGGCTCGGAGTAGACGCGCTGCTCCTCCACATCGAGAGGAGCCAGTTGAGGTGGCTCGGGCATCTGGTCAGGATTCCTCCTGGACGTCTCCCTGGTGTGGTTTTCCGGGTACGTCCAACTGGGAGGAGACCTAAAGGTAGACCCAGGACACGATGGAGGGACTATGTCTCTCACCTGGCCAGGGAATGCCTCAGGATTCCCCCGGAGAAGCTGGCCCAAGTGGCTGGGGAGAGGGAAGTCTGGGCCTCTCGCCTTAGGCTACTGCCCCACGACCCGACTCTGGATAAGCGGATGAAAATGGATGGATGGATGGACAAATGACGTCACTTTGCGTAGCTTATGTAAGCAGGAAACATGGTGTCTAAGTGGCACAAACGCTCGAAAGTTTGGTTATATTTTACACGAAAGCATGGCAACAGGGTAACCTGCAATAATTGCAAAGTAGATATTTCAACAAGGGAAGGAAAAAGCTTTTGGGCACAAAGTACGCAATAAGTTCGAGTTAGTGACTAGTTTTGGCCTGCTCCAGGCTAGTGCACATCAACGCAGCAGCTGTGGTGACATTCACACGTCCTTTCCTGTTATCCCTGCAGGTAACTAATCAACTAACATCGCCTATCAAGTTAGCATCATTTACCTTCTATACACACTTGTGTAGTGGCTATTTGTCCATAAAACTTAAACAAAAATAATCAAATACTTTCAAATGGCCACTGGGCTACGTCAAGGGTTAGGCTTTATGCATGGGAAAGAAAAGGTTTCAAATAAAGCAATGTCCATGACGACATTGCGTTTGGTGGTGGTTTATTCACTCAAGCAGCAAGAGCAGAGATTTTTGCATCCTCTCCTTCTCTGTGTGTTAAAAAACCATGTTCCCTCGCAGCCCTGGCTGCTCTACCCACCTTGACCTATTTATACCAATAATCACCCACACCTGACCAATAAACTAATTAGCCAAAATAATAAATAAGAAGCATAATGCAAAACAAATAAGTTACCTTTAGCATAAAATAAAGAAAATAAACTAGGCTATAACTGAAGCCTATAATAAACCAAATAGCTTCAACACACACCTTCACACTAGCGGACTCCAGTGACTAAAGCAGACCTGTGGTGAGACTTCTCCCACTCTGCAAAAGCTACATCTCTACACCAAACAAGAAGATGTCTCTGCCTTCACAGGGAGCAGAAAGGAGAACATTTGGAAAGATCTTTCCAACCGATACAGGTACAGTTGGTTATCATAGATAACCATAGTTAGAACGCAGGAGGCCGTGTGCTATTAGTTTTTTTCCACTTATTGAACTACTCTGGAACCCATAAGGAATTGGATCGATAGACTGAATCGATAATCGATATTGATAAAAACGTATTCCCACCCCGTGCGTATGAGAGGCCACCACGTTTCATGAATCAGGTTTTTGAGTGTACACACATTCTAAACTCCAGACGTAGGAAGGAATATAGGAGAGTATACAGATGTTTGATAAGCGAGGGCCCTGATTCTGCAGCCTGTGATGCCTTCTGAACATTATTCCAACTGTGTCTCCTATAGATCTTATGACATGATCTTTGGACCCGCCAACCTTGGAGATGATGCCATCAGAAACTTCCGAGCTAAACATCACTGCAACTCCTGCTGTCGGAAGCTCAAACTTCCAGGTGAAAAATCTTCTGGTTGTTTTAACAAGTTAGGATGTGACAAATCTTCTCTTTTCTTTCTGTTATACATAAATATTGTGTCAATGTTTTGATTTTAGCTTATTGAATCAGAGACCAGTAAGTTCTAGCTACCTGGTCCGTCTTCCACAGCAAGTATGTCCTCCTGGTCTGCTTTTAGCCTGTTTCCTAAAACCTGTCACTGTTTTAACCCTCCCACTGTCCTAAACCCTAACCCCGCAAGGAAAGTTGACCATTGAGCAGGGTTGATGGTTTATCCCTTGGGTCCATGTAGCAGGGGTGAGGAGTGAGCACCACCTCACCCCTGCCACCTGAACCTCAAGGGATAAACCATCAAACCTGCTCAATGGTCAACTTTCCTTGCGGGGTCACCCATAAAGACAGTGGGAGGGTTAATGAAGCTCCCCCATTGGAACAGTAAAATGCTGCTGTTTGCTTCATGTCTAAATGCTTACGTCATACGTGTAACGCTACTCTTTAGCCACGCCCACATAGATGATGACAAGTATTGTCCTGTTAGGTGAGATGATTGATGAGTAAAACCAGTAAAACCATCTGTTTTAGGTTGAGTAAAAATCTGTGTGTGTGTGCGTGCGTTGTCAGATGGTACACCAGTGTCAATTCCAGATTCATCTGGTCTGTTTCTGTTTATCAGATCTGAAGAGGAACGACTACACACCAGATAAGATGACGTTTCCACATGAAGACCCGCCCACACCAGGGGGTGGAGTCAAAGATTCCCAACAATCCATGAAACTGATGCTGTGATTTGAGAGGCAGATTGTGTGTGTGCATGCATGTGTGTGTGTGTGTGTGTGTGTGTGTGTGTGTGTGTGTGTGTGTGTGTGTGTGTGTGTGTGTGTGTGTGTGTGTGTGTGAGAGAGAGAGAGAGAGTTGACAGTGCTCGAATCGATTTAAATCTGAACGAGGAACCGGGAATATGCATTCAATCAAGTGGCTATATCACTGATACGTTACTATGGAAACCAGTGCATGTTAACTTTCATGTTTTTGCCGTTTTTATCCTAAAAAGCTGTTGGGACAAATGAACTTCATTTGTATTTTTTAATGCATTTGGGGGGTGCTTTTAAAACATTTTGTACACGTTTTATGATCACAGGTAGATGAACTGGACTTGTCAGCAGGTACAAAAGGGTTTATTTATTTTTATGTCTAAAAGTTGCCATGTTTTACTAAAAAAAAAAAGGTGTGTTGATGTTCCAGCAGCTTCAGAGGAGCAGCTGCTGAGACGGACTCGAGGCTAAATTGCAAATCAACACCAGTTTTTCTTGCTTTCTTTTTTACATGAAAACAAAATAGTATCTTAACTTTTTGTCTTTTAACTGAAACAAAATCCATGAATAAATAAAAAATCTTGTATAATAAGGGCAGATTGCAATGCAACTTTTACAAATGATGTATGTAAATGACTTGTGCTGGAAGTGTCCACCAGAATCTGGCTCATTACAAAGGTACCATGGATTTATCTTTGTCTTCAGCAAATGTTCTAATGTATCTTATAGATACACGTTTGTGGCACCGACTCGACACATTCAAGATCTGGTTCATCAGGAGCGTACGACTGTCTACATTTATACTGAATATCATTTTAAATAAAGTGTCGAACATTAATGTTGTGTGTTTGTGTGTTTTTATTACAACAAAAGAAAAACTGGTGAAGACTTGTAGATTCTAGAAACCTTTTTCCTGATTATTATCAGCCCTTGACTAGACGGTCTGTGTTCTCACCTCCCCCTGGGTGTGGCTTACTCCCTGACCCTGTGGACTTCTGACTGGCTCAGCTCACAGGACAGAAACGAGATGCTCACTCACAAGTGAAACCATGGCCACGGTCAATGTAGAGTACTGGTAGGTTCCTCAGTTCCTCATCTCAGTACAGGGTTCCCACTCTTTTCTTGAAATTATTTTCCAGGACATTTTCAAGACTTTCAGTGTACAAGCCAAGTTATCATAACTACAGTTTGCCGATATCTCGATATGATCATATATATATATATATTTATGATCATATCAGGATATATTTAGAAACAGATATGATATTGTACCTACCTATACTGTTATATTGACAATATAGTTGTGGAAAGATTTTTGTCTTTCACAATCCCACCTGCTTTCCTCTACTTACAATGCAACACAACAAAAACAGAAGTTATTCTCTACTTTAGTTCATACCAGAGGTGCGATATTGTGTCATCATCAAGTCATCTCCATGTCAATTTTTTTTGTTCTGCTCAGCAACTGAACCAGGTTAATTCACTATGCTGTTTGAAATCACCTGGTTTAATTGCTGAGCAGAACAAAAACATGACAGAGATTTTTTTTAAGTTTATTTTCATTTATTCACAATTATAAATAAAACACAAAACAGGTTTGCGAAAACAAAAACTGAAAAAGATGACTTGACACAATGTAACTCCTCTGGTCCACACTGCTATGTTACGAGCAGAAATCACTTTAAAAGTCCAAGCTGTATTCGCAATCTGTTACTAACAATTATCAAACTTTTAAATTAATTGCACCTGCTCACACCAAGGCAAATTACGCATCCGGTATACATAATGGCATAAATTGATGAGTTGTCTTTTTGACTAAATTATTTTGATTTACCAAATCTTTGTAATTTTTTTGTCATATTGATTAAATTGATTTACATTTTGTAAAGCTAAATGTGTTTAAATGTAAAATCCATTTAGCCTCCTGGATAATATGAAGTAAAATATGATAAAGTAGAAATTAAATTTCGGTATATATCGTGTATCCCAAGCTTTGGAGAAGTGTTATTTTCTGCAATTGTGTGGTACCTTATATCTTGTGTGGGAGCCATTTTAACTGAAGGTGTAGTTATTGGTTTTGACACTAGAGGGAGGCAAGCCCACTGAACATTTGAACGTCATTGTCTCCACCTCTATTTAATCATGGTGCAAATGGGCACAGGTGTGTTGGATGGAGACAGGGGCAAACAGTTTGGGACTGTGCTGAAGCAGGTTAGATTATGTTGGAGCTTACAGAAAGAATTGATTGACTATGGGAACAAATGTCGGATGTATCTGTAAGAAAATAAAGGAACAACATTTTATTTCACCCCACACGTCAACTGGTCTGTCCTCTTCCTTCACCTGTGGTGGATGGGTTTCATTTGGAGAAACTTTGGCCCCACATTCTAAGTCCAAAACTGCCTTTTTTTAAGTCAAAGGCCAGGAGGATACAGGTTCCACTGAAGTGGATCAGGGCCCTGTTGGAGGTGCTGCTGGATCGGGTCCTGTTGGAGGTGCTGCTGGATTGGGCCCCGTTGGAGACAACGCTGTCTTTGGGTCCTGAACGGGCCGCTTGGGTTCACGCTGTTCTGGCCATTCACCTGCAGGAGCTTTGCGTCATAGAAGAAATAACAGGTTACGCAAGCCTAATAAAGAGGTATGTGTAGTGCTTCCAAATGATTTACTGATGAGCAGGGGCGTCGGACTGGGGGGGGTGGGGGTGGGGGTGGGGGTAGGGTTAGGGTTTACCCAGGGCCCACTGCAGGGAGGGGCCCTGAGACAGCTTTGAATAAAAATGTTTTATTGTTGTTGTTTTTCCCCCCCAACTTAATGTCTTAATAAACTTCACTTTACCTGGATAAAGAAGTTAAGAAACAGAATTTTGCCTTAAAAACAATAACTGAATAATCTCTGAGGCATCTATCACCCCTTAAAAATGTGCAAAGTGGTTTAGTCCACACCTGCGGCCAGGGGCTGCACTGCCGCATGTGCTAATGAGACATCGCAGATGCCGACAGCCAGAGCTGGAGGCAGGAGAGTCAGTCATGTCTTTTTCCAAGAAAGGGAAATCTGGCTTCCAGAAAAGAAAAGAAGGAGAAGGAGGAAAAGTTAATTGAGCAGAAGCAAGTATTGACTAGGTTTTTCAAGAAGGAAGGTGAGCAGCAGCAGAGCACAGTTTTAGCTGATATTAGCTAGCTCTCAGAAGCTGCATTCATGTTAGGTGTTCAGTGTTAAACGCCTTTAGTTTCACCATCAAGATCAAATATAAATTAATTAGTGTTATCAGTGAAAACACTTATTTATATATATATATATATTAATCAGAATTATTATCGCGGGCGGCCGCCGCCAATTAATTCGCGGACCTCGCAGTAAAAACGGGTTCACTCTGTGTGGATATTTCAGCTCCTTCCCAGTCATGGACCAGGACAAACTTGGTATCGATGGATTCGTGGTAATCTCAGGAATGTGAAGCTGCCGCTGTTTTTCGTATAGCATGATGACACTGGTGTTAGAGGATTGTTATTGACTTGATTAGATATTTTAAGCCTATTTTAAATTTCTTTATATTTGATCTTGAAAACAGACAATCTTATAATTTGGCTGATAATGCAGGGATTATAAAATTTAGAGTACATTGCATTCACAGAGAGAACCTGGTTTATTTCATGTCATATGCATTTAAAGAGCAAGTAACGTCTAAATTAACTTTTTTTTGCTGATGAACTGTATAAATGAGTGTCTAATAGTGTTTTAAATGTGTGTATTCATTATTTTAGCATTTTGGTGCATTTTCTTTAAAAATTTAAAATTCTGCCTAAATACCACAGTATAGCGCCACCTTCAGCTTAAAACATAGAATTTGACTCATTTTGAATAAATTTTAGCCAATGGCTAAAGAGTAAGATACTACGTAAACCAGTAGAGTACTACGTAGCAGCTCTTTGCCAAAGTTATAAAAGCAATGAGCATCTTGGCCACCGCCTTGTGGCGAGTTGGGAGTTGGATTTGCAAGCGAGTGTAGGAGGTTAGCGGTAGTTCAGCCTTAGCATATAGCATTAGCATATCCTAGTCTTTAGCGTAGCCTTTAGTGTTATACATACTTATTTAGTGTTAGCTTGGCTGTTGGATAGTGTAGTTTAGTTAGTGTTTGGCTGTTAGTGTAATTGGGAAAGGAGTTCAGGTTTAGTGCTCCATATCGTGTTAGTATGGTGAGAGGGTGTAGTGTAGTATGGTTGCGGTGGCTCTGTGGGGTTGTACTCCTTTCCGCTGGACTTAGAAATTAGGCGCCAGTGGTTGCGTGTCTGGAAAACATTCAGCTCCCACCCGGTGCTGTAGTTTGCAACCAGCATTTTACCCGCGATTCTGCATTTCTCCGTTTCAAGAGGGAGGCTGTGCCCACCGTGGCTCTTCCGCGATTTAGATGCAGCCCACCGACTCTGCTCCCCCACCATGACGGGCTCCAGTCTGAGGTGAGTACGCTAAATAAAAGTTAACATCTTCTAAAGACAATTTCCTAACTAAATGCAAAGTTTGCGAGACGTGGTTCACTTCATTTAACTAATATCAGCCTGCACTGCCTTCGGGCAGATTTGTCAAGTTCACAAAATGTGGAACGGGATGTAAGGTTCGAATCAGCGGCGAATCGGAACATATCTCGAAGCCCTGGCCGACGAAACGGTCCACATGACTGTCAGGTTCAGAGAAAATTCGGTTTGCTTTTGTGTCAGTCGGCAATTCTGCAACAGTGACTCTAACTAACGCAGCACTAGTTGACAGACATCATTACAGCATGAAATCCAGCAAAGCGTGACCCGGTTCCGTGAGGAATTCTGTTAAGGAGGTCGCTTTTCAGGCTCTCCACATAATATGTGACTGACTTTAACGTTATAACAACGATCACACACTAGGAATGTTATAAAGCGCCTATATGGGACAGTTTCTTTTGTATATTATCTGACTTTATAAACTCCAACAACAATGGGCTTCTATTTTTTTTTCAGGCTAAATCTACCCAAGACACTGGCTGTCAGACTGATTTAGTAGTCTGCAAGAATGCACTTGTCCAGGCTGACGTGAAGCCTTACCCGTAGCAAAGGTGAATTATTTTTAATAATCTTCTATGTAAACATTTTATTACCTTCTAGCTTTAATTTGTTTTACAGATTGTTACACGTGATTTTATGCTCTTTTTAACATTTATAAATCTGCTGCTTCTTTGTTTTTTATAGAGCTCACAGTCTCAGTGTGTCTGGTGACCCACAGGGACCATGACGGAAATTCATCTTCCAGAAAGTCCCAGAGCAGCGTCCACACCCCTGAAAAGACCAAGGTGTGAGGTGTCTGCTGTTGATTCCAGCTTCCACCTCAGTGACAGTGCAAGTTCAGTGAACTGTTCAAGGTAAAAAAAATTAAAACATTTCTGAATTTTTAAGATATTAACAATTAAATAAGTATGTGATTACATCATGACATCATGAAGGAGGCTACTGATTCTGGCCCTGTGACACTTGGTGGTGACGTGTGAGCTGATTCACCTGGTAAATACCTTTTACATTAAATATTTTGTTCTTTGCTATCAAAAGTAAATTAACTAACTAGAACTGCAAGCAGTTATCAACGGGTTCCAAGCCACCAGCGCCAGTCGCCCACCCGGCCCCGCCCTCAACTTCGCCAGTCCTCACGCGGTCCCGCCCCAAAGACACGTTCTCCCGCCGGCGTCCCGTCAGCTCACTTCAACCGGTGCAATGAAAGTAACACTCAGGATACCTCATTAAACCTGCAAAGCCTATAGACATATCTTTCAGAGGCATGGCTGACTTCTCAATCGTGATTACAATGGAATTCCACTGTTTC